AAGAAATAAAAAAAAGAAAAAGAATTTTGAAAAGATTAAATCGTTTCAAATTAAATCAATTTTTTCTTAAACACACAAATGCATGCAATTGTTTTTGTTTTAAATGAAAAATTGAAATGATAAAGTACAAAGATTAAGTATTAAAATGACAAAGTACAAAGATTAAGTATTAAAATGACAAAGTACAAAGATTAAGTATTAAAATGACAAAGCACAAAGATTATTAGTTGACGAAATTTGATTATATCATGCATAAAAGCTTGGATAGATACACACAAATTATTAATTGTTAATTGCTTTTTTTTTTTTCATAGAAGATATAGCAATAGTTGATCATTTTGAATAGCAAAAAAAAAAAAAATACAATAAATTTTCAATCTTTCACTTTTTTTTTTCTAACTGAATAAAATCAAACAAATATTTATTACTTTACATAATAATTGCTATATCATTTTGCTATGCTAATTACATGGATGCAAAAAAAAAAAAAAAAAAAATGGAATACAGTAACGATACGTAAACAATACGTAGTAAACGATACGTACGTACGAGCAAATGTATTATTGTTAATTCACGATTGGAAATTTTAATACGTAAATTTAAGCAAGCATGCATAATTGGAATAAAAAAAAAAAAAAATCATTGCTTTTAATTAATTTCATTTGTGATGATAAGATATTTTCATACCTTTTGAATTATTTAATAAATTAAATATTGTTATGATTTAATTAAAATAGCAAAAAATTTTAATTTTCTCTGTTAATTGTTATAAAATATTATTTTTCCGTTTTCTTTTTCTCTTTCTCCCTTTCTCTCTCTCTCTCTCTCTCTCTCAAAAATATTTAAATAGCAATGGCATGTTAGTATGAAAAAAGATAATGTTATGAACAAACAATTTCACAACAACTACCACATACGTTTGCCAGAATATAGCGATCTCAGATTAAGAGATGTTGGACGAGCTGAAAATTAAATTTAACAGATAAAAATTATCACTCTAAATGATATCAATGCTAATTTTAATTATTAAACTGGAAATTACTAAGCTATGAAATGATCAATTGGAATGACTAATAAAATGGAATAACAAAATTACTGATAAGTTATTCATTGAAATAATCAAATAAGTAAAAAGAATTTATGATATAATAAATAAAGATATACATGTATGATAAGCAAATTTTGTCTAAAAATAATTATGATAAAAATTATGATAAGAATATTATTTGTACTTAATTATGATAAGAATATTATTAGTATTAATTAAAGAAATCTCTTTCCTGGAAAAAAAAAAAGAAAAACAGAAATCACAAACAATTATATATCCAATCACAGAAGAAACAAAAAATGATAGCATATTAAAAGTTCATTTTACAAAATTAACAGGTTAAAGGTCATTTGTACTCATTAATACAAGATAACCGTTATCATCTAGAAAATTCCCTTAAAATTAATTTCGATTATTTCCCAGGCAAAAAGCTTTTCGTGCATGAAACAAAAAATAAATAAATGAATTTTTTAAAAAAAAAAGAAGTACCACATTTACACTATCACAAGATTTAAGGCCAAAAAAATCGATCAAAAGTTAGATAGCATTTGTTAAAATTGCTTTTGTTAATGATTACTAATTAGTTTAGTTAAAAATTAATTATTCTAAAGGATAAAATGATTGAATAATGAAACGATTAACAAAAATGAATGAATAATATTGATAAATTTATGTTATCATTGAAAAAATTAAATTTTTATCGAATTAAAAAAATTACAATTTTTTTTAAAATTTGCAATTGAATTAAAAATTAGTTGTAAAAGTTAGCCAAACTCATTAATTAATTAGATAA